CACACATAGATACATTATACACACCCATATACGGGATAGGATCCCTCGCCACCTTCACCCGTCTGCCCCCTTTCCAAGCCCCTCCTGCCAGCCTCCCCCAGCCGTCGAGGCGGCGCCGCCTGGCCCGGCGCGGGGCGCTCAGGAGAAGATGCGGATGGCCTGCGTGACGGCGCTGTGGCAGACGGGGCAGCGCGGCTGGCTCCTCTCGCAGATGCGGTTGGCGCACTCCAGGCAGAAGAGGTTGTGGCCGCAGGGCACCAGCGCCGCGATCACCTCGCTCTCGAAGCAGACCGAGCAGTCGCGCCCGCTGCCCTTGCGCCGCAGGCCGGACGACGACGACGAGGAGGAGCAGCTGGACGAGCTGGAGGAGGACGAGCTGGACGAGGAGCTGGACGCCGACGACGAGCAGTCGGAGGGCAAGCCGGGCAGGTGGCAGCCCAGCCCGTTGGCGTAGAGCGGGAAGGAGCAGGAGGACGACGACGGCGGGGAGGCGGAGGACGAGCAGGACGACGACGGCGGCGGCGAGCACGAGGCGGCGGCGGCGGCTACGGCGGCGGCCAAGAAGCGCCCGCCCGGATCGCTGCGCACCCGGCGCGCCAGAGGGTGCTGCTCGGCGGCCGCCAGCGCCCCGCCCCCCGCGCCGGCGTGCAGGGGCGGGGACAGGCGCGTCGGGGGCGGGGCCGGCGGGACGCCCCGCCTCTGCCCGCCACTCACCAGCAGGGCCAGGTGCGGCGGCGGCGGCGGCGGTGGGGGGAGGCGGCGCCGAGCCGGGAAAAGCGGCGGGGTTGGGCGAAGCCAGGCTGCGCTCGTACTGCGACCACATCAGCGGCGGGGGAGCCGGGGCCAGGTCGAAGCCCGGCGGGGAATCGAAGGCCGGCAGATCGGCGGCGACGGCGCAATCGGGCGAGGCCAGGCCTTCCGCGGGGCCCCCGTAGACGACGCCCCCTCCGCCGCTAATGCTGCTGCTGCCGTAGCCGTTGCTGGCGGGGCCGCCGCTGTGCGGGAAGGCCGGGCTGGGAGGGCTGTAATCGGCCAAGCGGGCGGCGCCGCCGCCGCCGCCGAAGTAGGAGTCGGTGGAGGCGCTGCCCAGCGAGCTGGAGCTGTCGTTGCGGTAGCTGCAGAAGGGCTTGCGGACCGGCGTCGGGGTGATGCTGCTGGAGGAGGAGGAGGAGGAAGAGGAGGAGGAGGAGGAAGAGGACGCGGGCGGGGGCGGCGGGGCCGGGGTGGGCTTGCTCCAGAGGCTGCCGGCGCCCCCTCCGCCCAGCTCGAAGCCCACGTCGGTGCCGTTGGCGTGGAAGTCGTTGTCGTCCGTCAGCTCGACCAGGCCGCCGGTCCGCATGGCGATGTGCGCTTCGATCTCCTCCCGGGCGCGGTCCACGTTCTCCGGCATGCCGGTCACTTCGAAGACGGGCTCCTTGTCCCGGCTGGGCGTGACGATGTAGGTGTGCGTCTGCTGCTGGATGCGCTTGATGGTGGCTCCTTTGGGGCCCACCACCAAGCCCACCACCCGGTAAGGCACCCGCACCTGGATGGTGGTCTGGCCGGGCAGGTTGGGCGGGCTGGGCACCGCGCCGTTCAAGACGGTGCTCTTGTTGCGGGAGGCGCGGATCATGGAGAAGTGCTCCGCCGCCGAGATGATCTCCCGCCGGGCCATGGCCACGTCCTCCTTCCGGCCCGTCACCACGAAGAGCGGCTCCTCTCCCCGCACCGGCGTCTTGATGTAGGTGTTGGTCTTGGCCCTCAGCGCTTTGATTTTGCAACCTGGAGGAGAGGGGAGGATGGCGGAGGAGGAAGGGAGGGAGGAGAGGAGGAGTGGGGAAACGGGTGGGGGGGGGGGAAAGAGCAAGTTACACCTCCATTTCTCGGGTGGGGGGGGGGGAGGTCGACGCGCGGACGGCGATGCAACCTGTCACCCGGCCAAGCTATTGTCCCTCCGATTGCCCCCCCCCCCAGCTCGAGAGCCACAGAGTACCAATAACGAGGAAACCAGCCTCAGCTACACACGCCCCTCTCTCCGCCTCGCCGCTATTCCCATTGGCCACCGACGGGCGCTTCGGCGGAAAGCACCAACGGGGCAAAAAATAAAAAAAAGCAAACCCCCCCCACACACACACGCTCCATCTCTTTGCCCGGCAACGTTGAGCGAGAGGAGCCCGCAACCGGTCCGCGGACAGCAGCACGCTCTCTCGCACGCCCCTTCGAAAACCAGGAACGAACCGACAAATAACCGCTTAAGAGCCGCATCCGGAAGCGCGTCCCCCCCCCTCCCCAAAAGGCGCAAGGGCCACTGGCCCCGCAACTCCCTCGCAGGGACCCCGTTGGCAATGCGGATTGCCCTCCCCAGCCCCGCCGTGGCTGGCGAGGGAAAGCCCCCTCGCCCCGTCCCCGCGTGTCCAAGAGCCGAATAATAACAATAGCAACCCACGAGCTGGGTGGAGCGTCCCGTTCCTGCCCCCCCCCACACACACACCCGTGCAGTTGATTTTGAACAGCAAGAGGTTGCTTGCCGCTAGGCGAGCAGAAAACACATCTGGCTGCCAAGGTTGGCTCCGCCACATTTCTGCACTTTTCTTTGTCTGAGCCGCGGGAAAGGGGGGGGGGCGTCGCGCCCACCAAGCCGAGCCTTCCTTTCCACGGGGGGGGAGGGATGAGCGGGGCTTTCCTCTCCAGCCGGCCACCGGCCGAACAAAACCTGGAAGAGGCGGTGGCGGAAGACTTGCCGCTCAACTCTCTCCGGTTTTCTGCCCTCTGCCCCCCCCCACGGATGCGCGCGCTGACAACCCCCCCCTCCCCAAGTAAAGAAAGAGATCCGCGCGATCCCACCTTGCCTGCCCACGATCTCGGCGACGTGTTCCGAGCTGGGCACCGGGACGCATTCGGTCATGTTCACGCTCTTTTTGCGCGGCTCGTTCTCGAAAAGGGAGCCCGTCTCGTCGCCATCCAAGCCGAGGAGGGAGAGTTGATCCAAGGCGATCTGAAGGGCTCTTTGGTCATCCAGGGTCTCTCCTCCTCTTCCTCCTCCTCCGCCGCCGCCGCCGCTCCCATTCCGCTCCATGTCCGCAAACAACGAAGTGGGCATGGTAGTCCCGGTGGATCGTATGGGGATCGCGCCCTCCTCTTCCTTTCCTTTCTGCTCTCGAAGCGGGGGCGCGGGGGGGGAGGAGGAGGGAAGGGGGAGGCAAAGAAGCACCCCCCCTCCCCAAAACCACAACCAAAAAAAAAAAAATCAGACACAAAGGAAGAAGCTATAAGGCGGGTGGGCAGTTCATCGGCGGCGGCGGCGGCAGCGCGGAAAGAAAGCGGAGGCGCACGAGCGCGCCTGCCTTGGAGAGCAAATCCTGGAGGCAGGCAGCCTCCCCCGAATCGCTCGGTTTGTCTTCGCCCCAGCGGTGGTTTCCTTGCGCCTTAAAAATATATATGTATATATATATATATCGCCGCCTTCCTTCCTTCCTTCCTTCCTTCCTTCCTTCTTTTCCAATGCAGTCCGGTTTATAAGACGCTTTCCAAGAAAACACCCCCCATGCGATTTTCCCACCCCGAGCTTTCTCTTTTTTTCCTGGCCAGCCCGGCGGGGGGGGGAGGAGAGGGAGGGAGGGAGGGGAGTTGGCGTGCAGAGAGAATGGAGGGAAGCGCGGCGATGCTTTCTTCCTTCCCCCCCCCCTCGAGTTTTTCGCTGGCCACAATGCCCGGCGATGGCACCGTTTCTTTAAGGAGCCCCTCCCAGCCACCACTCAGCGTTTTTTTTCTTTCTTCTCCCCCTCCCTCCTTCTCCTCCCCCTTCCTTTCTCTCTCCTCCTCCTCCTCCTCCTCTTCCTTTCTTCTGTCTGAGCCTCTGCTGCAGCCAGACAACGCGGGGGGGGGGAAAGAGAGAGAAAAAGGAGGGGGAGGGGAAAAAAATCAGAGCGCCGCAGCGTTAAGAGTCCCAGAGCCGATAAAGGGGGGGGGTGGGAATAGAAGGGGGCGGGGAGAGACGGAGTGCGCCCGCGCAAGTCATGACCGCTCCGCGAAGCCATTGGCGGAACCCAGGACCAAAGGGGCGGGCGCCAGGGCGCCTGCCCCGCCCCTGAGCGAAAAAGCTACTCTTCTTTGTTGTCTCCATTCGGGCGTCGGAGGTCTCTTCCCGGCGCTTTGGCATCAGCTCTACCGGTCTGCGGGGGCGCAGGCGAGGGCAGGGCCCTTCCCGCTTCCCCAAAGGGGGCTAGCGCGGAGGGGCGAGCCCCGTTCCCTCCTCTCCCTTCTCAAAGCGCCACGATCTTTCTCCCCAAATGGGGGGAACAAGCATGCCGACACTGGGCAACAGCAGAGGAAGGAAGGAAGAACCAGGATCTCTCTCTCTTCCAAGCATCGGCGGGGGGGGGGGGGTGACAAGCCAGGGGGGGAGGTAATTCGAGGAGGGGGGACCCAGGTGTCAAAGGTGCCACAAGCGGGGAAAAGGTGACAAGCGCTGCCCTGCCCACCTACCCACCCACCCGATCCTCTGCAGGCTTGGAAGGGGGAAGGAGAGCTCTACGGCGCTGGGGACCTTTCAAACCGCTCGATTACGCACGTAGGAGCCTTCCCATAACCCCGGGGCACGGGAGGGAGGGGGGAGGAGAGACTGGGTGGGAGCGGGTGTCCTGCGCGTCTTGAGTTTCTACGCGGGGCACCGGGGAGAATTGGCCCAGGGTTCCAGCTCAGAGGGGCGTATCCTCCTTCCGAGGCAGGCCACGCCTTCTTTCCTGGCCATTCTTCCATCCGCGCTTTTGTAAACTTCAGCCGCAGGGCCGTAAACAAAAAAACACCGGGCTGGGCACGCGCGCCCCTGGGGCCCCGCCGGGTCACCTCTCGCGCCTCCGTGCACACGCGTAACGTTACAGAATCGCCCCAAAAGACGGCGAGGGAGGAAGAAGCCCCTAGCAGGGGAAGAAGAAGCCAGCTTCTTAGTTCAGCCAAGGGAGCTTATCCAAACCAGCCCACCTACCCAGCCACCCTTGACAATCGGCGGCCAGCGCAGCAACTGCACAGGCGCGCGTCCGTCCTCTGCGCAAGAAGCGGCGCCGGTGGGCGAAGATGCCAACCGAGAAAAGGACAAAAGGGGGGTGGGGAAGGATCTGTTCGCCCTTCGAAGAAGCTGGGGAAGGTTTCCTTGTGTGATCATCTTAATCACCGTCCCCAGATCTTGAGCCTTGCTCCGAGACGGGACTTGCACGCACACGCACACACACACACCCGTTGTCACTAACTTTGGACATGCGTGCTTTGCGCATCGCGTCCCCCGTGCGGTGGTGGAAAGGGTTAAAGCCCGGGGCTGGAAGGAGCGCGCGCTCCTTCCCATTCAAGTCGAAGGGGCTCCTCCGCCGGGGAGGCGTGGCGTCTTCCTCCGCTCGAAAGGGGGGGGGTCGCTCCGCCTCTGGGAGCCACGTGCACTTTGCGCTGGGGGGGGAGGGAAGAGGAGGAGGAGGAGCCACCGGACAGAGAAAAGGGGCGGGGCCGTTGGAGAGGCTTTATAGTTCGGCGAAGACAAAGAAGTCCGCGGGCGAAAGGGGGGGTGCGTTGATGGGCTCCTTTTCTGGAGTAAATAAGGAGGGGCTCCGTTTCCCTCGCCCTCCGCGGGGCCCCTCCGGGTTAAAAGTCGTCCCATCGGTACCTGGTCGATTGCACGCTTTTCTTGCCCCGTCTTTCTTGGGCGTGGGCTCCTTGAGGGGGTCTGCACACACACACAAAAACAAACAAAGGCACGCGCCCGAGGGGGGCGGGTGAGGAGACTAGAATGGCAAGCAAACTTAAGATCGTTGCGGAGAGACGGCGGCAGCAGCAGCAGGAGGAGGAAGAATGGAAGTGCTTCCTTTGCAGAAAAGGACGGAGCCGCGAGACTTGCCCGAAGCAACAACTCAGCACCCGGTTTGGGCCCCGTGGAGCAAAAGTGTCAGTCGATAGGAAAAGAATCTTTGTGGCTCGGGGTTGATCTGTGGGATCCTAGGTGCTCTCTGAGCTCGGTGGCTTTGTTGCGGACGTCTCGTGGCCCAACTAGGTAACATCATCAGCGACAATGTCAATTTGCAGTTGCTAAGAGCAGTGCTTTGCTTTCTGCTGCCTCGCCAGCTGATCAGAGGGAACAGGAGGAGAATGACTGCGATCAGGTTGTCTCCGCGCTGAATGTCTGGATCATCGCACACTGACTTTGGGCCCATCCCTCTCACTCAGCCCAACTCAGCTCGCAGGGCTGTTGTGCGGGAAATGGGAGGAAGGTGTGTTGGACGCGTTCAGTGCCTTGTGTGTAAAAGGAACAAAGGCAGGCACTGAAATAAACAGGGTAAAACAGGATTAACAAATCTATGCTTCTCAGAGCCACAGTTTTTCCAGTCAAACATTAAAAATGGAGTGGGTTTGCTGTAGAATGAAAAGGCATCAATTATCCATCTAATCATCATAAAGATGAAGGCCTCTCCTCTGTCCAGTCGTGTCCAACTCTAGGGGGCGCTGCTCATCTCTGTCTCTCAGCCAAGGGAGCCAGCATTGTCCCAAGACGCTTCCCTGGTCATGTGGCCAGTCTGACTATACGCCTGAGGTGCATGGAACTCTCTTACCTTCCCACCAAAGTGGTACCTATTTATCTACTCCCATTTGCATGCTTTCAAGCTGCTAGGTGGGCAAGAGCTGAGGCAAGGACAGGAGCTCACACCATTGCTCAATGCTCAGGTCTGGAACTCGGGCTGTCAGTTTCCCGGCTGACCAGCTCAGCATCCTTGACCTTCAAGCCATCTCGCTGCTCACACACACACACAGACACATATGCCCAATAATCATAAGACTCCACTATTGATAACAATCATCATCGTGTCATCTCCTATTCAGACATAAATTTCAAGCCTTAGAACAGTGGTTCTCAACCTTTTTAATGCTGCGACCCCCAACCAGTCATAAGTCGATGACTAAACCGGTTGTAAGTCGAGGACTACCCAACCGGTTGTAAGTTGAGGACTTTCCCTGCCCGGGAGCGCCACGCATGCGTGATGCCGCCCCCTGCACCGGCCGAGACGTAGCTGGCAAGCGGCAGAGATGGAGCAGGCCGACCACCGGCTGGGCCACCAGCTGGCCCAGCCCAGGGTAGGTAAGGCACCCGCCGGAAAAGGGAAAAAAAATGGCGGACAGCCTTGCTTGGCGACCCCCGTGAAATGGTCGATCGACCCCAAATGGGGTCGCGACCCATAGGTTGAGAACCATTGCCTTAGAATAAAACGTTTGGCTCTCAGTTGCTTCCTACCATACGTAAATTGGAGTCCACATAAGGGGATGATAAAAGGTTTTAGCAGCCCTGAAAGCCTAACTAATTTGTATAATCATCTTTATAATGTACAGCAGGGGTCCCTAACTCCTAGTCCATGGACCGGTCACCAGCCACGGCATGCCAGCCAACCGGCCGCACAAACAAGCAAAGTCCCATCCATGGGATGCAGGCAGCACCCAAAACCACACCCCCTCTGGTTCGTGGAAAAACCTCTCTCCACGTAACTGGTCCCTTGTGCCCAAAAGGTTGGGGATCTCTGATGTAGGTGCCTTTTAAATGGGAATGCAATATTCTTCTTCTTTAGGGGCAGTTGATTCCTCTCTCCCCCAGTTAAGTGGATTGAGGGGGGTAATGGAATGTGTTTTTTCTGTATTACCCAGCCAATTTTCCAGCTTGTTTCACACAATTTCCTGAAACAGACTGTTGAAAAACTAATTGTGCACTTGCTATACATTAATAATCAACCACATACTTGGATTGGTTTCTGTTCCTTTGGAGAGCCCACTGTTTCTCTCTCTTTGGCGTAATCTAACCAAAGTTAAGCACTCTTAATCCTATTGTTTTCCAAGGCAAGGATTTGAGATATGTTTATTTTAACTCTTCCATTTAAGCCAATGAACCATAAATACACCTAATGATACACTCAATTAACCCAATTTTTTCTGGGAGTTTACAGACATACTGAACTGTAAATTGACCACACAGGCTGAGTTTGCACAGGACACTAGGCTAAAGTGTGCATGGCTAATCTGTAGATTAGCGTTGTGCAAATAAAGACAATATTGCCCTTTGTTCTATGTATAATATCAATTTTGGGCTACAGAATTCCAGGCTACAGAATTCTAGATATCAAGGAAAGAGCTGGAGAATATTGTTTGCTGCTATCTGGCTTTCTGAATCCCAAATCTGATTGCTGTTCTAAAGCCAAAGCGCCTTCAAGTCAAGAAAAACTCCTGGCGGTGCACCGGACACATACATGCCATTTTCTTTCCCATCATAGCAGCGGTCCCCAATCTTTTGGACATTGGGGACTGTTTCTATGGAGAGCGGTTTTTCCTCTGACTGGGGGGGAGGGCATGGTTTCATGCGATGCCTGCATCCTATGCATGCATGATTCAACTTTTGCTTGCTTGCATATCCCAGTTCCTGGCAGGCTGCAGACCAATGCTGGTCCACGGTCTGGGGGTTTGGGACCCCTGCATTATAGCCCAGTGGCTGATTTTTCATTGTCTTTGTCTATGGAGATTCTCAGTCATCCAGGTTATGGTTGTCCCAGAAGTG